GAGCCCAGGAGTTGGAGGTTGCTGTGAGCTGTAATGCCACGACACTCTACCCAGGGGGAGAGCTTGAGGCTCTGTCTCAAAAAAAAAAAAAAAATTAAAAAATAAAAATGAAGTTATACCATATGGAATCAGAAGACCCAGACTAAAACATTTCTCATTTTAAAAAAAGGGGGTATATAGGTCAGGTGCAGTGGCTCACACCTGTAATCCTAGCACTCTGAGAGGCTGAGGTAGGTGGATTGTCTGAGCTCATGGGTTTGAGACCAGCCTGAGCAAGAGTGAGACCTCATCTCTACTTTATTTTTTTGGCCAGTGCTGAGTTTGAACCCACCACCTCTGGCACATGGGGCTGGCACCCTACTCCTTGAGCTACAGGTGCCACCTGAGATCTCATTTCTAAAACCAGCTGGGCGTTGTGGCAGGCTCCTGTAGGCCCAGGTACTTGGGAGGCTAAGGCAAGAGAATCACTTGAGCCCAAGAATTTGAGGTTGCTGTGATGTTATGGCAGTCTATGAAGGGTGACAAAGTGAGACTCTGTCTCAAAAAAAAATGGGGATTTGAGTCAAGTAAGTTCAATGTAAACCAATTTTGTGACCTTTCTGCTAAAAATGCGAAAATCAATCTTAGGCTGGTTTACAAAACTATAAGGTTGCAATCAAGGTAAGTGATAATCTTACTATGTTTTGAAATATAGAGCTCCTGATCTAAGATCAAATGCAGCAAAGTGATGCTGTTAAGATTGTTATACTGGGTAAGAAAGGTTAAGATGACATCTCCACAACTTTTGGGCTAATGTTGTCTAATTCCCTGACACTTACCAAGTAATGAATAAAGAACGTACTCTGCAGCAGCTGCTCTTCAATAAAACCTGATCGAATCTTATTTCTTAGCACCCTCTCAATGCATTTCTTTGTCTGAGTATTGGTGCTATAGATGATGAGGAGCATTGCCAGGTCAAAAATCTATTGTCAAGAAATATGCAACAACATGAAAAGTTTAATAAATTGTGTACTTTTACCACAGTAAAACAACAGTTCTCAACTTTTTCCCATTTAAACACAAAATGGATGATACTCATTTGCTTAACTTCCACGGATGTACCTACATTTTTATAAAACCCAAAACTATTTTTCAGAGAAACAGTATCACAACTATTAAAAGCACTGGTCTCTATTAAGAAAACAGTAGAATAAAAGTAAAAGTGACGTTATACAGGAAAAAAAATTAAATCACTTGTCAACTCCAATACGTACTTCCATTATTATTAGGAAAATAATATGGGAAAGGTTAAATAAATTATGATTGAGTCACTTGATTGAGTCATAAGAGCCATCAAAAATTGAGCTACAGGCTTGGCACCCGCAACATAGTACTTACAGCACCAGCCACATACACCTAGGTGGCAGGTTTGAACCCAGCCGGGCCAGCTAAAACAACAATAGTAACTGCACCAAAAAAAATAGCCTGGTGTTCTGGCAGGTGCCTATAGTCCCAGTTACTTGGGAAGCTGAGGCAAGAGAATCACTTAAGCCCAGGAGTTTGGGGTTACTGTGAGCTGTGACACTACAGCACTCTACCCAGGGCAACAGCTTGAGGCTCTGACTCAAAAAAAACAACAACAACAAAAAAAATTGAGCTACAATATAATTTTTGACAGAGATATATTGAAGTGGAAACAAAACAACCTACAAAATGATAATCATAGTAAGATTCTGTTTTTGTAAAAACAATATATAAACATTTATATGTGTAGATATAAGAGCAGGTATGCCAGCATTTATACATATGTACAGCTTGTATATGAATAGAAAAAAATCTAGAGTGATGGGGCGGTGCCTGTAGCTCAAAGGAGTAGGGCGCTGACCCCATATGCTGGAGGTGGCGGGTTCAAACCCAGCCCCAGCCAAAAACTGCAAAAAAAAAAAAATCTAGAGGGATGATTACTTTTGAGGAATGAGAGCGTGTGGAGGGAAACTTTATTTTTTGCATTTGTAGATTCCTTGTGGGTTTTTATCCTCAATTAACTAGCATTATCTATGTTAAAAAAAAAAAAAGAAAAAGTTAAAAAGTTTAAGCAGGATAAAACAGAAAATACAAATTACTTAGAACATCTATTCCGACTTGAAGGTCTACCCAAGACACCAAAATTGAGAATCATTAGAACAGAATAGAATATTGCCAGTAAAAATATCAATGAAGGTAACATTAACATTGAAGCATGCAAAATGTTTATGAAAGGAGAAAAAATGTCAAGAGAAAAAAATCAGAATACAGTCACATTTATACATTGATTACAAATCTACAAAGATAAGTATGCAAGCAGCTAAAGTGACCAATTTATATTTATGAAAAAATAAAAACAGTTGTATTAGGGCATTTTGATTTTTGACTCACAAAAATTTGCTGATGTTTTTCATTGTTTTATTTGATATCATAAAACTGTTTAAGATAGTCATCCAACAATTGAATAACCCAACTAACAAAAATCTCATAAACAAAACAGATTTCAACTAAAAAAAACAATGATTTAAGGAAATCAATCATGTGGCTTATAACAGAAGAACATATTTCTAGAATTAAAAGAGACATACCAAGTCACAGTGGTTCACGTCTTTAATACTAGCACTCTGGGAGGCTGAGGCAGGAGGATCACTTGAGCTCAGGAGTCTGAGACCAGCTCTAGCAAGAGCAAACCCCCAATTTGGGCACCTATAGTCCCAGATACTTGGGAAGCTGAGGTGGGGGGGATCCCTTAAGCATGGGAGTTTGGGGTTGCTGTGGGCTATGATGATGCCATGGCACTCAACCAAGAGCAAAACAGTAGGATTCTGTCTCAAAAAAAAAATAGGGCAGCACCTGTGGCTCAGTGAGCAGGGCGCTGGCCCCATATACCAAGGGTGGTGGGTTCAAACCCAGCCCCAGCCAAACTGTAACAAAAAAATAGCCAGGTGTTGTGGCAGGTGCCTATAGTCCCAGCTATTGGGAAGGCTGAGGCAAGAGAATCACCTTGGCCCAGGAGTTGGAGGTTTACTGTGAGCTGTGTGATGCCAAAGCACTCTATTGAGGACGATAAAGTAAGACTCTGTCTCTACTATAAAAAAAAAAAAAGGTAAATAAAAAAATTTAAAGAAGAATTGAGTTATAAAATTATATTGAGAATACGATCTCAATTTTAAGTATGAAATATATATTATATACACACACATACAAATACATAGTTTAGCAAAATATACCAAAAAATATTAAAAGGTTAGCTTGTTTTTGTTTGTCTTGAGACAGTTTCTGTCATCGGGGGATAGAGTGCCATGGTGTCAATCTGGCTTGCTAGGACCTCAGACTCCTGGGGCAGACAGCAGGCCTCTGGAGTAGCTGCAATCACAGGTGCCACCAAAAAAAAAAAAAAAAAAAACCAACCAAAAAACAAAAGAGTGAAATTCTTTCTCTTTTTAAAAGAAAAAGAGAAACAATAGAAATTAGTTAGGCAGTGGTGGTAGGCGCCTATAGTCCCAGCTACTTGGGAGGTTGAGGCGGGAAGATCAATTTCTTGGCCCAGGAGTTTGAGGCTGCTTTGAGCTAGGCTGACGCCACAGCACTCTAGCCTGCGTAGCAGAATGAGACTCTATCTCAAAGAAAAAAAAAAATTAAAAGAGACACAAGGCATGGTAGCTCATGCCTGTAATGCTAACACACTGGGAGACCAAGGCAGGTGGATCACTTGAGCTCAGGGGTTTAAGACTAACCTGATCAAGAGCAAGACCCCATCTCTAAAAGATAACTGGTTATTGTGGCAGGCCCCTTAGGCCCAGCTACTCAGGAGGCTGAGGTAAGAGAATCACTTGAACCCAAGAGTTTGAGATTGCTGTGAGCTATGATATCACATCACTCTACTGAGGGTAAGAAAATGAGACTCTGTCTCAAAAAATAAATGGATAAAAGCAAAGAAACATGAAATCTACTGAAAATATAAAACTATTTGATTCATTCCAGTCAGGTGTACATAAAGTAAATAAAACAAGGAATGCTATATATATATATATATATTTTTTTTTTTTTTTTTAAGAGACTGAGTTACTTTGTCACTCTCAGTAGAATGCTGTATTCTAGAAATAACTTCTTCTGTCACAGCTCACAGCAACCTGTAGATCTTGGGCTGAGGCGATTCTCTTGCCTAAGCCTCCTGAGTAGCTGGGACTACAGACGCCTGCCACAACACCTGGCTTTTTTTTTCTTTTTTAATTGCAGTTTGGCCGGGGCCGAGTTCAAACCCACCACCCTTGGTATATGGGGCCGGCGCCCTATTCACTGAGCCACAGGCGCTGCCCCAAGGAATGCTATTATCTTAACCACTGCACCAGCTGGAAGGAAGGGGAATCAGACAGATACAGAGACTTGACTCATGACCTGGCTGAGTCAAAAGAAAAAGAAAAAGGCAGTTATGTTCTTCACCTTATCACTAGGGACTTGGCTTCTTAGACCACATTTTGGTATGCTTGTTTAGCATGTTAGTATTTCTAGGCTGGGAGCAGTGTAAGTTAGTATTTCTACAGTGGGAGTTAGTACTTCTAGACTGGAAGCAGTTCCAGTAATCCTAGAACTCTGGGAGGCCGAGGTGGTGGATTGCTTGAGCTCACAAATTCGAGACAGCCTGAGCAAAAGCAAGACCCGGTGTCTACTGAAAATAGAAAAAAAACTGAGGCAGTAAGATTGCCTGAGCCCAAAAGTTGAAGGTTACTGTGATCTATGACACCATGGCAATCTACCCAGGGCAACAGCTTGAGACTCTGTCTCAAAAAAAAAAAAAAAAAAGGCTTAGCACCCATAGTTCAGTGGCTAGGGTGCCGTCCACATCCACCAGGAGTGGCAGGTACAAACCTGGTCCAAGCCTGCTAAAAACAACAATCACAACTACAACAGAAAAATAGCCGGGCATTGTAGTAGGTGCCTGTAGACTCAGCTACTTGGAAAGCTGAGAAAACCCAAGAGTTTGAGGTTTCTGTGAGCTGTGAGTGACACCACGGCACTCTACCGAGGGCAACATAGTAAAATGCTGTCTCAAAAAAAAAAGGAATGTTAATACTTCCCTTCTGCAAACTGTAGGCTTATTATTATTTTTCTTCTGAGACAGAATCTTATTTTTTTGCCTTCAGTAGAGTGCCATGGCTTCATGGCTCACAGCAACCTCAAGCTCTTGGGGTGAAGTGATCCTCGCTCTTGGGGTGAAGTGATCCTCTTCCTCAGCCTCCTAAGTACCTGAACGCCTGGCTATTTTTAGAGATGGGGGTCTCACTCTTCTTCAGGCTGGTCTTCAACTCCTGAGCTGAGACAATCCACCTGCCTCAGCCTACCAGAGTGCTAGGATTACAGGTATGAGTCAATGCACCTGGCCTGTAAGCTTATTTAATCACCAGAATTAATAAGTAAGAATCTGTCATAAGCTCGGCACCTATGGCTCAAGTGGCTAAGGTGCCAGCCACATACACCTAAGGTGGCAAGTTCAAATCCAGCCCGGGCCTGCCAAACAACAATGGCTGCAACCAAAAAAACAGACAGGTGTTGTGGTGGGCGCCTGTAGTCCCAGCTACTTGGGAGGCGGAGAGAGGCAGGAAACTTGCCCAGGAGTTGGGAGGTTGGTGTGAGTTGTGATGCCACGGCAATCTACCCAGGGGGACAGCTTGAGGCTCTGTCTCAGAAAAAAAAAAAAAAAGAATCTGTCATAGGATGAGTTAAAAAAAAAAAAAAAAAAGAATGAGTAGGAGCAGGCCATAGTCACTCCTCAAGTCATCTTTCTCAAAGCAATTACAGAGGGCACAGGATGACTGGAGGGAAGAAGAGAAAGAAAGTACAAAGGCAAGCTATCCAATGTTACTACTTTTAAGTCTGCAATACACAAAATGCATAGTACATGAATATTACCTTGTGTTCAGATGCTGAGTTAATACTTTCAATTGCCTGAAAATGTAAGAGTCACAAAAATATGATACATTAGTGGAACATATTTGGCCTTATTCAGCATGCCCTGTTATCTTATTTTAGAGTCAGTCTGCCCATCTGGAAACCATCATCTAGCATATCTGCCTAAATGACTTCTTTTTTTTTTTTTTTTTTTTTGAGACAGAGCCTCAGGCTATCCCCCTGGGTAGAGTGCCGTAGCATCACAGCTCACAGCAACCTCCAACTCCTGGGCTCAAGCGAGTCTCCTGCCTCTGCCTCCCAAGTAGCTGGGACTACAGGTGCCCACCACAACGCCTGGCTATCTTTTGGTTGCAGCCATCATTGTTGTTTGGTGGGCCTAGGCTGGATTTGAACCTGCCACCTTAGGTATATGTGGCTGGCGCCTTAGCCGATTGAGCCACAGGAGCTGAGCCGACTTCTAAGAAAGACTTTTATACATTTGTCACTTATTGCCACCCATTTTCTCCTTGATACTCAAAGTCCCCAAGCTGTCACTCACCTTAATCCAGGCTTCTGAAATGATTTTCTCATATCTAACAGCTGACTTTATTACATCAAAGAGGAGAGTAACACAGTCTCGACTGCTGCTGTCTTGATTTCCTGAAGAACTATGAGTAGCAAAGGGGAAAAAATTTCTCTTCTACTTACCAGAAAAGAATTTACAAGATAATAGGTTACTGCTTACTAGTTATGTTCTTTGGATTAAGTCAAAACCTCATGTGTAAGACAGCTAATAAATGTGTATAGTAGTTTATCAGGGATTTATATGACCAGCTAAGAAAAAATATACACATATACACATGATTTAAAAAACTGTAACAGTGTATGAATGTAATATTACTATCATTATTTGTGCTTGTGAGTAGTAAGCTCTAGCTGTCCTAACTTTAGGACAAATGTTAGAAAATTTTCTCTATGCAAGAAAAGAGGTAGTGATTCTTGAGCTCTCTATACCTTGCTCGTCCTTTACTTTTCATCTTGCTTTGGGAAGCTTGAAACCGTGATGGCAAAATACAATGCTGCAGATCCAACTGCTCCCGAAGTTGAGAAATTACCTGTTAAAAATAAACATTAGCCATGTGTTCTGCTCATTCAGAGCAGACAGGCACAGTTCAAGAAAAAATTTAAAATGTTGGAGAAGCCATTTTGAAAAATAGTTAATGAGAATAGCCAATGAAGTATAGTGTGTCACACTCAATTCTAGGATTCCTTGAGTTACCACACAAACGTACTACACAGCAAATATAACCTGTAGCAGCTGAAAAACAATAATCAATAGGACTAGTAGTTCCAATCTCTTCCCTGAATGTCATCTGAATTAAGCAACATTACCAATGAGTCTGGGGACAGAGACAAACAATTGGAACTTATTAATTTAAATAATTCATCCTCCATGAATAAACATTCAACCTAAATGTTCATTTAGGTTTGGTGGGAAAGAATAGCATACCTCAAGTGCATCTGTGGGTGTTACAGAATGAAGAATGAACTTGATTATCACAGGTAAATCATCCAATCTGACAGAAGACAGCTTACTCATCACCAACTGCCGGACCTGAAAATAAAAAGCAAAAAAATCTTAAATATTTTCATTTCACTACTTCAACCTGACACTAACTTGTTAGGTTAAAAAAAAAATCATGGGCAGCGCCTGTGGCCCATATGCCAGAGGTGGCAGGTATAAACCCAGCCCCAGCCAAAAACAGCAAAAAAAAAAAAAAAAAAATCAATTCCCTCTCTCAGTTTCCCACTTCTAATTTAGGAAGAAAAGGTTCCTTTTACTTTTCCCCAAATTACAATCTTTCAATTGTTAACACCCCAGCTTCTTTAAAAACAGACAGATGATAAATGTATAGCAATGTTCTTTTACATTTTGGAGCCTGAATTTTCAACCAGCCACAAGAAGATAGGTAGTATCCTCTTTTTATATAGAAAGGATCACATAATATAAAAAAGTGTTATTTCTATGGGGAGTAATTAATGTGTAGGTAATAAAGAAGATTTCCAGTACAACTTATTGCTCAAAAACAGATCTATAGGCTTGGCGCCTGTGGCTGAAGTGGCCAAGGCGCCAGCCACATACACCTAAGGTGGTGGGTCCGAATCCAGCCTGGGCCCGCCAAACAACAATGATGGCTGCAACCAAAAAAT